GTTAAAAGACAAGCTGCCAAAAAGGATTTCAAAAGTCCTGGAACCCAGAGCCAATTATGAGGCCCAACTTTTCCCACTACCAAAAAAAAAAAAAGAAAAAAGGGTCCTGTGGGATTTCTTGTTAGTCTGAAGTGAGGGAGGAAGTTAATAAAAACTGGCAGTACATTATTTCATGAAGCTCTAGGCAGAGAGAATTTATGTGCCAAGATAGATCTAATCTTTCCAATTTGAGAGGTAGGTCAAATATTTATTCTTCAGATAGCTTTATATATTTTCAAGTTTTTAAGTTGGAAAATGCAGATTTTTTTTCCTGCAAAGACTTGGAAAAATCTTCATCTGTACATTTACTAAGGGTACAAATGTACATCCTTGGGCTTTTAGCATCACTATAGCTCCTTCCAGTGGAATCCTGTGACCCTACAGAACCATGTCTGGAAATGCTTCTTGTAAACATCTGTCGAGTATTATTTTACTTTGTCTTTGGAGGGAACAGAGGTCAGAAATTATCATATTTATACCAGGCAGGCTACAAGGCAACTTAGGGAATGAGCCAGCAAAGAAAAGAGAACCCAGTTGTCATGGTTCCTTAATGCCCACCTCTTACCACTTCCAGCCTTTGCACAGAGCAAACACCTGCCTTGTCTTCTCAGCTGTCATGACGGACTGGCGCTTCCCCGTCCTGTGACTGGCAGCAGTCATGACTGCAATGGCTAGCTGAGGTTCAGTGCACAAGTCTGGGGCCGTGTATCAGGGCAAAATAACCAAAGTAACCTGCCCACTGTGAGGAATGAAACTGCAGTCTTGGTGCCAGAGCACAGTGCTCTAGGCAGCTAAGTTAACGGGCCAGGCTCCAAATGCCAGTGACAGCAACGGATGGAAAAAGCAGCTGTTCTGCAACATGAGGCTGGAGCAGCTGCCTAGGCATCTATTTCTATTTCTCTACTCCTCTTCCCTTTGAGACATTTCAGTTGAGAAGACAAAAAGAACTTCTCAGAACCTGCTAGAATGCCATATTCTAAAGTGCAGAAAGATCGAACCGGTTCCATGCCTATTCTCCAGGATGAAACCAGACGGAGTCTAACTGGACTTACGGAAGCTGAGGGCAGGCAGGGTGCTAATTATAGGACTAGCTCTGCTCCTCAACCCATAAACGGCGAGTGCCTCACACACTCCAGACAACGGCTCATCTCACCAGGGCATCTGTTTCAGTTGGCTGGTTAGACTGCTTATGGGCCAGGAGGATGTTCAGCACTGCCTTCCAGCCTGGCTCTGCCAGGGTGCTGGCATCATCCTCAGTTCCACCATTCTCCCTGGTTTCCTTGCCAGGTGTGATCTTCACCCAAGGGCACCAGTCTCTATGCTGAGAGGTGGGATCAAAGAAGCTTCGTGAAGACGTGTCCTGACGGAGGACAAGGAGAACAGTGTTAATGAAGGGTAGTGCTACGTAAATTCAGAGGCACTATTAGTTGTCTGGGGGTCTGCTCCTCTACCTCACTGCTGTCCTACCCCTGACATATTTATTACCTCTCCAGAATCCATCCCAAAGAAACAAATGACACAGACTGTCAAACTACAGCGGGAAGGCTGGGGAGGGTTGGGGGGTGGGGGGGGGTAAGAGATCAACTGAAGGACTTGTATGCATGCATATGAGCATAACCAATGGACACAAGACACTGGGGGGCATGGGAGGCTAGAGGAGGGTCAAGGGGAGAAAAAAAAAGGAGACATATATAATACTCTTTGTAATACTTTAAGCAATAAAACAAACAAACAAAAAAAGAAACAAATGACAAAACCCTTAAATGTTTTCCCTTTGGTCACCCATCTTTAAACTTATTCACACGGTTAACCTTTAGCTACAGGATGAGCGCACACCTGCTTCTCTGTGCAGTGGGTAAGGGTGTGGCATGCTCTTTGTGCTCAGTGGTTCCCGTATGCACAGGTGGACTCACCGAGCTGCTGGACGAGCAGAAGCGGGCTCGTTTGGCTCTCCGAAGAGGACTGGATGGCACTTCCAGGCCAGAGGTGTCTCCTGTTCCCATGCTCCGGGTCACTGGGCGGGTCCTGGTGGTGGGGCTAGCGGCTTCTGGCTCAGGGCGGTCAACAGGACTGGAAGAGTCCCAGCTCCGAGTTCGAGAGAAGATGGGTCCTGGGCTCCTTTCAGCCTGAGGAAGGGGAGATGATAATGGAAATACACCAATGTTCTTAGTGACTATGGTTGGGAGAAATACTTCTAGAAGCATGTGAAAGTACTTTAGAGTTTAAATGATAAGAATTTAGTTTCTGAGAATATTAGATTTCTATACAAAACAATGAATCTAGCTTTTCCATTGCAACTGGTAAATAAAACCACTACGTGGTATCAATGTGGTTAGAACTGACTCCTAAGTGAACTCCCAACTTTTCCACCAACAACATTTTTGGCAAGAATGCTGTTTTTATTTTTTAAATTTTATTTATTGATTTGAGAGAGGGGAAGGGAGAGAAGGGAAGCAGGGGGAAGAGGGAAGGGAGAGAGAGAGAGAAATAGGGAGAGTGGGGGAGGGAGGGAGGGAGAGAGAGAGAGAGAGAGAGAGAGAGAGAGAGAGAGAGAGACCCTGATTTGTTGTTTCATTTATTTATGCATTCATTGGTTCATTTTTGCATATGCCCTAACTGGAGATTGAACCTGTAACGTTGGTGTATCAGGACGACGCTCTAACCAACTGAGCTATCTGGCCAGGGCCAAGAATGCTGTTTTTAAAAAGTTCACCCCAAAGAAGCCAATTAAGTCTATACCTGCTCTGAACTTGGGGAAGACGAGGCATCCTGGCTCCGAGTCATCATCCTCCGAGGAGACTCGGGCACCAAGAGGAAGCGCTCCGGCCGCCCCTCAGGGCCAGGGATGGGGGAGCTGGTCAGGACAAAGGATGTGTCCAGGTCGATCACGGATGACTCAATCTGCTGGAAGCCCCAGAGCCCCACTTTCCTCATACAATGTGAACACGTTATCAGGGAGAGCTGCATGGGTTCCAAGGAAGAACTAGGTAGGAACAGAAAAGAGAGTTTTCTCAAAGGGTAATATTTCCAAGGGACTGGGTGTAATATTTGCAAGTATGCTTCATCTCATCCAACAAATCTCCGAAACAGTCCAGTGACTGGGGACACGTCTTCTCCATGGCCCCAGTGCTCTATCTCAGGATCCCCAAGGTCATCATCTGTCATTTATTTCCTACAAAAATACCTAGTCTTGGTGTGCTCTTCTATGGCAAGACTTTTAAAAGTTATGTTTTATAAACTTCTCTATCCCTCTTAAAACTTTTCCCTTTTAAATGAAAATTATTCCTTCATCTACCAAAAAAAGCATATTAAAATAAATCAAGATTGGTTCCGACAGTCTTCTACCTCAGAGGGAGTGTACGCCAAATTGAGCAGCTAGAATGGAAACACCAACATGGGGGCCTAGAAGGCTCCAGCTGGTGTTTCCTTGGCTAGTTTTTATCAACTGAACTCATTTTTCTTCCTTTCTGAAAGTAGAAAGGAGCTTCATTGTTTATAGGAACACAAATTCCCAGCTGGGAAGTGACAGTGAAAGAAACAAAGTTCAGGTATGTTCAAAAATTTCTGAGTTCTAATTCTGGTTAACTGTCCCCTCATACCCCCACCTCTTCAGTTTCTCTCTGTCTCTACTTCCCTTATAGGAAACACCATGTGATCTCCAAATACTATTAGTGACTGAAGTATATGGGTGTATGATGCCCCCCGGCCAAATCTGCTGACTAACCTACATGCTACCCAGCCACACACAGAGAGAATACAGGCAGTGACGTGGACTTGGATATCTGAGCCTAATTTGGTGGCAGTTTTTCTCTCATCAGTTCCGTGGTCAAGTTCATCTTCAAGTAGGTGCAGGAGAAGACTGATCTTGTCTTCTGTAAAGCACTACAAAGGAACCAAAAAAAAGCTTCAAGTTTTAGTCACCATAAAAAGAAAATTATACATAATAATACACCTAGATAATTCAAGGCAGAAATCATGACAGAAATGACAAACACAAGACAGTTCTCTTCATTGGAGAGGCTGTCCTGGGACCACGCTACGTGACGGCAGCACACAGAAGCTTCTGAATTGCCCCAGATCTGCTGATTGAGAAGGTGGCAGTTTTCCTGGAACCACCAAATCTTTTCATACTACCAATTTGTTTGCAGTTTACCAACTGCACATTTTCTCTGAAACCTGTAAACTTCAAACCCAAATAATGAAAAAAGGTCACGTTTATATCTTGGCCTGACAATGGATTTACTTTTTGACAGAACAACAGACTTTGCCACAGTTTTTAAAGAATGATGACAGGGTGGAAAAAAATTGCCGTGGGCCCTGGCTGGGTGGCTCAGTTGATTGGAGTATCGTCCCATACACCAAAAGGTTGCAGGTTCGAACCCCAGTCAGGGCACATATATAGGTTGTGGATTTGATCCCTGGTTGGGGCACATGCGGGAGGCAACCAATCGATATTTCTCTCTCATGTCAATTTCTCTCTCTCCCTTCCTCTCTCTCAAAATCAATTTTTAAAAAAATCCATATCCTCGGATGAGGATTAAAAAGAATTACCTTGGCTAGGGACAGGGTGAAATTTGTAACAGGCATCAGCGGTTTGATGCTAAAATCCGTAACTACCTCATTGTGAAGAAGCAAAATAACAGCTTCTAGTTCCTACGATGAAGCTTGTTTTCAAAGTACTTACCAGGTGAGGAAATGAGGCAGTAAACACTCAAAGTACAGACAGGCCAGAACATTTCAAGATTTCTATTCTCAAGAGAGGAGGGAGTTTATAACTTTCTCCTCTAGCACTTTCTTTGGGAAATGATAGTCAATAAACCATATGAAGTAACATTTCAGTATCTTCTGTTAAATAGTTTAAGTAACAAATTAGGATAAAATTGAATTTATGCCACTTAAAGAACCATATCTAAAAGTTTAAATGGAACCCATTTACTTAAACACTTAATAGTCACCTTTCTTTCTTTTTTAAAAAATATTTTTTAATTGATTTTAGAGAGAGGAAGGGAGAAGGATAGAGAGATAGAAACATGTGTGAAAGAGAAAGAGTAATCGGCTGCCAGTGGCACGCCCCACACTGGGAATTGAGCCCGCAGCCCGTACATGTGCCCTGACCAGGAATCGAACCTGTGACCTCTTGGTCCATGGGTTGACAACCACTGAGAAACACGGGCCAGGCTCAATAGTCACCTTTCTGATGAAAACTGAAAAAAGGACAATTGAGTGACAAGCCAGTGGTTCTCTTCAAAGCAATCTGCGTCCTCTTGTCATTAAAAGAAATGATTCATATATACATGCTGGTGACAACTGAGGCCACGGAAGGCTAGTCAAGAAAAACTCACCATAGTTTTCAAGTCCTCTGGCTTCAGGGAAGGAAGTTGAAGGTCCAAGTGACAAAGGCTTTGAAACCGATCTAGGAATTCACTAACAAGAACAGCAGGCTCATCCAATGGCAACATCCCAAATCGATCTGCGGAAAAAGTAAATTGGAGGATTATATTGGTGCAAATTGTAAAAGAAAAAAAAGAAGTATAACACTGTGAGGAGCCCCAGCTGGGTGGCTCAGTTGGCTAGAGCATAGACTTGTAAACCAAAGAAATTGTGGGTTCGATTCCCGGTTGGGGCACATATCTAGGTTGCAAATTCGATTCCTGGTCAGGGCGGGTACAAGAGGCAACTGATCCATGTTTCTCTCACTCCCTCTCTCCACTCCCTCTCTCCTTTCCTTTCTCTTAAATCAATAAAAACATATCCTTGGGTGAGGATTAAAAACAAACAGACAAAAAAACCACATGGGATATGTAAAACTGATAAGATATTTTATGATATAACAATTATTGATTTTTTTAAAAATATGTCCTTATTGATTTTAGAAAGGGGGGAGAAACACCTGGCTGCCTCCCGCACACCCCCTACTGGATTGAGCCCACAACTCTGACCAGGAATCGAACCGACGACCTTTGGGTGCACGGGAAGACGCTCAACCATCTGAGCCACACTAGCCAGGGCTATTGATTTTTTTTTTTTTATGGGGTGGTGACGATACTTCTGTGAGTATGTTTAAAAAGTAGAGTCTCAAAAGGTTTCTCAGAAGCAGTCAAGTTTAAGCTGAAACTTGAAAGACCAACAATAGTGTGTTAAAGCAACAGATCAAGAATGGCACATTTGGGGAATTCTAAGTAGTTTCACAGTATTGGAACACAGTATGCCTATGGGGAGAGTAGCAGGAGATAAAGTTCATGTAGACAGCGGCCAGACCATGACTTCATTAATGTATGTGATGAGAAATTACTGAATCCCTGGCCTGGTAACTCAGTTGGTTAGAGCATTGGTCCAACACGCCAAGGTTGCAGGTTCGATTCCCAGTCAGGGCACATACAAGAATCAACCAATGAATGCATAAATAAGTGGTCAAACAAATCGATGTTTCTCTCTCTCTAAAATCAAGAAAAATTAAAAGAATAAGAAATTACTGAAAGATTTTTTTAAAGAAGAAAGTGATGTTATAGATAACACGCATTAGTTTGGAGTAGAGATTGTAAGGGGTCTTTGGATGCAAAGAAATAAGCTTAGCAGACATCAAAGTGATATAAAGTAATAATTCCTGTAAGATACCAGTGGCATAAGGATAGAGAAAAGAGAATCAGTATTTTAAAACTCTAAATGATGAAACCTCATTTAAAAAATAATTGAAAACCTCATTATTGTGGGTACAATAATATATAGCATTAAATTGGGAAAATGAACATAAACTCATGATGTTAAGTAGAATTCTAGAAGCAACAGTTTCATGAGTGTACAAACTTGTCAAAACTTATCAAATTGTATACCTAAATATGGGCAGTTTTATGTCAATTATACCACAACATGCTGTTTAAAAAAAAAAATCTTTTTCAGTTTTGTTATTAAAAGGGGCCCCAAAAATAGTAACGGTAGCATTTTTGTCCACCAGTTAGTCTATCAATAGCAACCAAATTTTGGTCTCTAATATTATTAAATTATTTAAAGTTGTTGCAAGTAACCAAATATGTCAAAACACATTACATCACTTTAAAATGATGCAAAAATTTAATTTTTCAATTAGAGTTAATATTCCATATTATTTTGTATTAGTTTCAGGTGTACAGCATATGGTTAAACAATCATATACTTTACAAAGTGTTGTCAT